AAGGTTTAAGGCATAGGTATAACAGTTTTGAAAGTCAGTCAAATAACACAAAATAAATATTTATAAAATCAAAATTTACCATTTAATATTTAAGACGGAAATTTTTTTCGAATAATTAAAAACTGATTTAATAATAATTATTATATAAGTATATAGTTGAACAGATTTATAATATAATTTTCTTTTTCATTGTTATAATTTTTTTTTTTTTGCTTAAGTAATTATTTATAGTTTAAAATGTAATTAAATTATATAAAAATTAATTATAACTATATTTTTTTTTTTTAAATTTCAATAATAATTAATAATGTCATTAACATATTATATTTAAAAAAAAGAAGAAAATGGTAAGAAATTTTTAAAAAATTTTACTAATATATAATAATTAATGTTCGTTTACATAAAGAAATTCATATATCCGAAAATTTCTGTTATTATATCCGGCATTTAGCAAACAAACAAAAATTCGAAATTCATTAATATTTTATTCATATTTCATTTCAATTTTAAAAAAGTTAATGTTAACATTACGCTTTATGTATCGCCGGCAGCTTTATGTATCGCCGGCATTTTTGAATGTTAAGTATGGCACTGACAGTATGTACTTCAATTTCGAAAATAATCATTGACACCCCCTTATATATACCATCAAATGAAATCAAAGATTATTTTTGTAAGCGCTATGTAATTTATTAGTATTATTTGTAACTACTCAAAAAAAATTCAATCTCCCAAAATTCATTTAGAAATTGCTGTTCAAACAAAAATATTTTCATTTTTTAATGATTAATAAAAATTTTCATAATTATTTTAATTTTTATTAATAATAAAATATTGATAAATATTGTTTTTTTTAATATTTCGATGAACATAATAAAACGCAAAAAAATCATTTCGGCATTAAAGTCTTTTGTTTTCAAATATCTAGAAATAATTATAAAAAAAGGACCTTCTTGATATTTAATTGAAAATTTTCATTTTCGTAATTAAATGGAATTTCCAATGAGGCAATTTTCGGAGTACTTATTTATTGCATTCTTTTTCCATAAGAGGCGGGAAGCTTCAATAGGACTGGATAAGTTATTAGTTCATTACCTCCAGGTTCTTCACGCAATAAATCTTTATAGCATTCAAAAAGAAAAGTCAATTTTGAATTTAGGAAAAAATTTTAAGAAAATTACATGATTTTAATAAAATTTTTACGAAAAACTGATTATTTATTTCTCGCATCAAGTAAAAGATTGCAAGCTTAAACTTCAACATTGTTCAAATGTAATATATATAAATTGTAAGCTAATTGAATTTGTACGATAACTGAAACAAAATCTTAAAATATAAAATCTTATTTCTCATCTCATTTCAGTAATAATAATTATTTTGCATTTATTAATTTTGCTTGATTTCATTAAAAAAGTAATCAAATAAATTTGCAATAATTATGCAATTAAAAAATTATAAAAATTCTTAATTATAGAAAAACTGATTCTATGTTATATTTTATTTTACTTTAAATTTGTTATACAATGTTCGACGAACATAAATTATTATATAATTTATGTACCGTTTGCACATACTTTCCAATTATAAATTACGTAAATAATGGCATATTTCTATATACTTATATATTCCCATATAATTGCAATTATGATAAATTTTAAATTCAAAATTATATTTAATTCAATATTTATGTGTTCAAAATTCAAAAGAATTCTGTAAATAGAATTCTAATATACTTAAAAGGTTGAAAATTTTATTATTATTAGCAATTCTTTGTAGAGTCTAAAGTCTAAAATATTAAAAAGCAGAAAATTATTTATGCACATCACATTTATATTATAGTAAAGGTAGTATGACAGTCTCGTATATAATAATATTATGCATGTGTATAAGTATTATATTAGATAGAATTCATATTATTTTAAAGATTTTTGCATATAAGAATGACATTTTGTATTTTACTATTCATATTTACTATTTTACTCGTAGATTATTAATAATTTATTTTATATATACAAACTTTATATATAAAGAATTAACAATATGAATTTCCTTTTAAAATGTCATTGATCTTTATGTTTAATATTTAAACCGTATGCATACTGTGTTACCCAGTCAATTTAAAAAATGAAGTGCATACTTTTTATAATAATGAAAATATTTAAGGTATTTATTTTCAAAATTCGAAAAATTTTTAATTTTATATTTAAATTAGACGAATGCAATTAGAACTCTTATATTGTTAGTATTTATATACTTAAAATTTAAATCTTTTTGAACGCATTTCGATAATCATATAAGTATCAATGACAAATTATGGGCCCCAGTTAACAATTCCACTTCGTTTCAAAATTTTCATTATTTCTTATTAAATTTTATAACAAATTATGCGAATTCACTAGTCATAACTCCTTAAATAAACATTTAAACCAGAATACAAACAATTTTAGTAAGGTATTCTTCCATTCCGAAGTTGTTAGTGGGTATATGTGGTCATGTCTACCAGTCTGATCTTTTGCCCGTACTAGCGATTACTCAAAACCTAAATTAATTAAATTCGCAAAATTTTCATAAAACTAATAATTAATTGCTAATGTCTAACAAACCAAGCGATTTCGAGAATAATACCAACCGATTACAATTAAATAACATTTCAGAAAATATTTTAGCTACAATAATGGAGTTTAAAATGAACAGCATTAGTATAACAATTATTTACTATTAAAAAATAATAGGTTATGTATAAAGAGTGGAATATATCCGAATCAATTTATGACATAACTCACAATCTTCAATTATTAACATGAAGATATAATTGGTACGAAAAAATCTACCTATTCCAGCTTTGAAGTTTAAGTTAATCCGGATATTAATACGTTTATAAAGCTATGATTTATTTTTTGTTATTTTATTAAGCAAAATACTTGATGAATTTGAAAAGTGCACATTTTATTTTGCTACTTAAAATAAAACATATTCAATTAAAAAGAAAAATCACCGGTAAAGGTGTTACCATTTGCTCAGGAAATAATTTTTATTACTTAAACTTTTTTTAATTTATATACAGATTTCACATATAAAGGAAGTTTAATAAGATAACATTAAGCTTATGACAACTATATACATAGTTGCTAAAAAAATTAATCGCCTGTTTTTTAAGATCCTTTAAAGCTTTGTAAAAACGTATAGATTTTTCTGATTTCAACAGTATTAATATTAAATGTGTGCTTTGAGAAATTGTCTTTTTTTCTATTAATAAAAATAAATAATTTTCATATATAAATTTTTTCTTATCCCAGTATTACCACAAGCTAATTAGATTTGTTTTGATCGGTGACAATTTTTCGACGATAAGTTTTCGGCGACAATCTGTTTTAAATCAATCTGATATTGATTCTATTAAAATCGATGGGATACAGGACAAGATTCTATTTTTCTCATACGATTTATTTGGATTGAGTTGGATTGGGAATCAAATATATTTCCAATTTTGATCGTTTTAAACTAAATCATACAATTTTGTTTGATTTGTGAACGCTTAATCTCATTCTTATTGCGTTTACATATTTCACATTTTTCACGTGACTTTTATAGGTCTTATTACATTTCAATTGGTGTCCTTTAACAATTACTTACTGTAAGAGTATCCATATGCATAAATGAAAATAATACAAATTTTGTCTAACTTTGGGTTTCATTTTATGGTTTCACAATGTTTGATTCATCTTTGGTAACATTTTAATGGCTTTTGCTTTATTTTAGTAAAATTTTTTTAACATCAATCATACATGAATACATGTATATAAAACTCGTTTTTCAACATAAAATGATTGAATCAAAATAAAATTAAGGATATTATAACACTTTGTGAAAACGACGCCATATAATATAACAATATAGAAACACGCATAACTTTCCTGTATTACTTTTACATAGCTTATACCCTTATATTTTTTAAAATTGTGAATATTAAAACGCATAACCTATATATCGCATATTTGCTTATAAGTATAACATTAATGTATTATTTTTAATTTTTGTATAACAATATATATGTATGTACATTTACATATGTTCTATATCCTGTTGTATGTAATCACAACTTAAAAATATAACAACTTTAGAGTAGCTCTCAACAACCACTCGTATATTATTTCATTTATTTTTCTTAATAACTAACATTCTTTTGTTATACAAAATTTGTATTTGGTTTTTAAGCGCAAATCATTATATTAAAAAATTTAAATAACATTTATATATATATATATACAAAAATGTTTTCTGGATATATATACTCGCGCACATATATAGAATTTGTATATGTATATAAATCTTTCAAAATAGATTAATATAAATAATAAATAAATAAATAAAATTAAAAAAAAAAAACAATAATAAAATATTAAGCAATTCTAACCTTCTAATCGGCGACAGAGGTCAGCCATCAGATATAATGTTCATTGAAGTCTTTTGTTTTCTTGTTTTGTTTTCTTGTTATACAGTTTATTTTGTATACAAAATCTTATATTACTTTTACATTTATATATATGTATGTATTTATGTATAACTATTATATATTATATCTCTTTTTTTGAGATATACTGTAATATAATTCAGAATTTATTGTTATACATGCACATATTTTAAAATATAACTATATAGATAAGTATAACAGAGTTAAAAAAAAATTCTTTAGTAGACACAATATACTATCATATTACATTTAATATATTAAATTTTATTTACTTTATTTTTTTTTGTATTCTGTACTCAAATTGCTTATAAATTTTTTCTTCTTTCATATATCAAATATTTTTCCTCATTTATTTAAATAAGCACTTTTATGTTAAAAAAAATTCATAATAAATTAAAAAGTAAAATTATAAAAAGAGTAATAAAATTTAATATTTTTTTATAACTTAACACATAAGTAAATATGAAAAAAAATTCAATTCCAAAATAAAAAGTAAATTAATTATTTTAAAATATTAAAAAATAATTACAATTATTTTATTATATTTTTTTTTTCAATTAATTTTATGTTCCGTAAAATAAAACCAAATTGAAAAAAAAAATTACTTTGCTTCTTCGAAATTCACGTTTTAACCATCGGACACTTCACCTGTAACTGAATTCATTGTGAGATAGAAATAGGTATGATCAATTTTATGATCTCAGTAACTAACAATTTTAACACCAATAATACGATACCTTTACGTGGAACAGAGTATATAATTAAGAGAAAATAATTTTAATGCTCTCAATTGTTTTATGCTCAATAAATTTTGTCATTACTTTTTCATTTCATATATTTTATTCGGCTCTCTGTTAAATTAAAAAAACGGAATGTTTAAATTCTCTTTTTGAATATGCATTTTTTATGTACCTGCTACCTGTATAATAAAATAATATGTATATCTAAATAAATTAATGGGTTTTTCAATAAGCATGACCAAATTTATTGTTGACATAAGTATGAACTGAAACAAGAGGAACTGTTTTTATTTTAGTTTGGAGTGTTTGCAATAAGTAAAAGAGAAATTAGAATTTGAAATGATTCCACCTACAGAAATAAATTCGATGAATGACTATTTCCAGTAACTTAATCTTATATTTAACAGCCTCATTTCCTAAATTAGTATTCAATTTTGAGAATGGCTGTCTGTTTTATTTTCATGAAGGAAATTTAATGGGATATAGTTGGTTCAAACTTTTTAAGTAAACAAATTATTATTTGACTAACTGTATGACATGCTGCCCCATCTTTTTGAAACCAATTTTAATGATTATAAAAATCAGTTCAAATAGATTTTATAACACTAGTCACTAGCTTGTCTTTCACTAGCTACCAATATTTGTTTAAAAAATTCCTATTTAAAAACCTGTTACTATAAGCCTTTAAAAGTAATTACATTACACGTTTATTTATATATGCATATACAAAGAAAATATAATGCTCTTTAAGTCACTGAGATAAAATTTTTATAATCAATATCCATTCCTTTTGCTGTAAAAAGATTTACCTACATACTGTTATGAATATTTTGAAACTGTGGCGTAAATTTTCTCTTTTCATTTCTTTCGTCTCAAAAATTTATAATAATTTATTTCAACTCAAAAAGAAATGTATGAAAATAAAAAATAAGAGACAATAAAGAGAAAAATAATCTTAAATTTCAACTTTTTTACTCAACTTGTATTAACAACTAACACTATTTAACAAATTCTTCTCATTCACCTCACCTGAAATCTCAACAATTATGAATGAATGGTAAAAGCCTACCTTTAATAAATATATATGTAAAATATATAAACAAATAACTGCACTGTAAATATTATGTAAGTGAACTATGCATACATACTACTAATATATTGTGCATATTAATTAATATTATAACCGAAACTCACCTTAAAATAAGCGGGTATTATCAATTGTTTTATTTATAATTTGCGTGTACATATAAGTCATATGTTTTGATTTCAAACTTTTGTAAATAATTAATATTAAAAAAAATTGCAATGGATTATTTTAAATCTTCAAATTAATAAAATTGAGAACATGTTTATATCAGATATATCAAAAAAAAGAATTTGAATTTCTTTGAACTGTGGAATTATTTGTACTACTGTAAATTTTATTCTGATTAATATTATGATGACTAAAATTTAAATGAGAATCTGTTAAATTATTAACTTAACATTAGGAATATTTGAATACAGTGAGTTTGTTTTTTTGATTATAAACCCTTGTGGATAAGATTTTATTGCCAACGGCCATACCACGTTGAACACACCGGTTCTCGTCTGATCACCGAAGTTAAGCAACGTCGGGCGCGGTTAGTACTTAGATGGGGGACCGCTTGGGAACACCGCGTGTTGTTGGCATTTTTTTTTTAATTTTTTTTAAACCATCACAATTCGGCCTTAAAAAACCACAATTTCATTGATTCTAATGGATTCTGCTAAATTCACTAAAAAGCATTGAAAGAAATATTTTCATAAACAAAATCTAATTTATAGTACCTTAATTAATGTTTAATGTTAATTACAGAGCTCATAACAAATACCATAATATATAGAGATATTTGTTATTTGAGAAATTATAAAACAATGTTTAAGTAAAGAAAGGTGTCAACAGGTTATGAAAACATTTGAACAATATTATTTGCGACAAGCAATGAATGTTAATAGCGATGATTTTATGACATTTGCCATCTATCAACTTTTAGTTTGTTGGAATTGAAACTTCTTTGTTTAATTTTTTCAAGGAATAAGATTATCTGAAAATAGATGAATATTCGATCCCAGGTATATTTAGATTATTTCAGCTATTTGGTGTTACTGGAACATGATTGATACATACAGGAATTATAAATTGCAATAATTTAAATTATCTAAAAGATATAAAACATACACTTTTTTGCATTTGAAATTAATAAAAAGGTTTTATTTACCATTTCTAAATTTATTTCAATACTATACACAATTTATAATTGTCAATTAGTTTCAAAGTATTTATTTACTTATTAAAAATTGAAAAAAATTAATTCTCTTATTTGCTTAGATAATAGTAATTTGTCAAAGACTTTGTATGGCCTTCGATAGCTCAGTTGGTAGAGCGGTGGACTGTAGAACGAACTCAATTACGCAGATATCCATAGGTCGCTGGTTCAAATCCGGCTCGAAGGATTTTTTTTTTTTTTTTTTAAAATGTTAATAATTTATTACAAATTAATATTGCGATCAATTTTTTTACATCTTATTTAAGATTAATTTTATTAATCTCACACGAACAAAATATCGGGTAAAGAAAAAAAATAAACATTTTTGCTACAAAATTTATGATTATATTTGGAAATTTTTTGCAATGAATTCTTGTTAAAAACTATAAATTTTATATCAATAATCTTGTTGTAGAAAAACAAAATCGAATCTGAAGACGCTGCGTTATATTACGCTTTCACAGATACTAGGGCATTCCATGCTAATTTGAAGCTTGGGTGCATATGAATTGATTGTTGAATAAGTTTTTTCTGCCTTATCTTATCAACATTTTTCATAGCTTCACTTGCGGTTAGCAACGCCTTCGCAGTTTCCAGTGAATCATTTCTTAAAAAAAAATTTTAATGATTTTCGTAGAATTAAATTGTGAAACAAAAAAAAATTCTATATTTTCAAAAAATTTAAATTGTGTACCTTTCTGAAGCTTTATGTCCCAAAATAACCACACTCTGGGCAATTTGACAAGTTCCTTTGGAATACTTTTTTGTTTTTGATAAATAGTTTATCGCAAAATCAGCCAAAACTTTTCTTAATAAAGGTCGATCGGGATAAGTATGTACTTTTGATATTAAATAGTAGTAAGCTTGTTTGGATTGTCTCTACAATTTTTTTGATTGAAAATAATTTTAAGCTAAAATAAGTGGATGCAATATATTTATACCTTAGCATAATAATATTGTGATGTCAGAAAAGCGATATGATGGCAATATTCCATATCATTTTCAAATTTTTTGAGTTCATTTATAATAGATTCAGCAAACTGTAAATCTCCGTGTATTATACCAAGTGCACAAGCAGAAAACATAGCTTTTATGGGTCGTGGCTCCAGATCAAGACTTTAAATATTAAAATAACTTTGATATGAGAACATTTAGAATATTTAAGATATTTGAAATTACCATTGATAAAGAATAGATTTAGCGTCTTTTTCACCTTGAAGTGAATAAACTATTGCTGACATTGAAATCAAAATTTGTGCCTTCTCTTCATCTTTCGAAGCCAACCATTCTAGGGCACATTGATATACTTCATAACTTTTAAGAGCATCTTCACTCTGAAAGAGTGATAGCGCATAACCAATTGTTGATTTTACGGACGCTTCTGACAAACTACTAAAACAGCTAGCAGCAAGTTTTGTTTTACCAGAGTTTAAATAACAGTAACCTAAATTAAAAAGTATGATATCTTTTTGTTCGCCCTCAGCTTTTTCAACAGCCAATTCGTATGCCTTGATAGCAGAGGACCATAACTTTTGATTAGAGAAAAGATAACCATAGTAAGACAAAGATTCAATTGATGATTTGTCATCTAGAAGTCTTGTATACCAGCTAATGCAATCCATTGCATGCGAAATAGCATGCAATTTATTTATAAATAAATCATATAACGATTTCGAAAGACATTTTTGTTTAGACAAAATTTTACAGATCCAATGAGAGTAACCCAACGCTGATTCAATATGAAAATCTAACTCAGTGCAATGTCTAAATAAATCTATTGCTTCTTCCTCCTCACCAATGAGTTCGGCAATTATTGCTTGTCCTAGCCAACCATTAATATATATTGGATTGGATTCTTGCGATCGTTTGAAATATTTATTGGATAAAGAAATATCATTTACGTTTAATAATAATACTCCTAAATTTGCCCATATTATAGCACAATTTTCATCCAATTGAAGTCCTTTAATAAAATAATGCTGTGCTAAAGAATAATTTGGTTCTAAATCATCTAACTTTGTTGCACAGAGCACACCAAGTAAATTCCATGTTTGCCACCTTTTCGGGGAACATTTAATAGACGATTTACAAGCATTTTGCGCTAGTTGCATTAATTTTGGTTTATCTGAATTTTCTTCAAACAAAATGTAAAAATACGCACAAAGGGATAAGTCTTGCCACAAAAAAGTATCATCCTGAGTGAGTTTTAGCGCTCCGCTATAAAATCTAAATTTCAAAAATTATATGTAGATTTAATTTTTACTTAAAATAATATTTTACTTTAAAGCTAGTTCAAATAAATCTTTCCGGTTAAGTTCACAAACGTCTTCTTCTTCGCGTCTTGCAAGAATTCCATAAATTTTTAAAAATGATAATTTTGATGGCAAACATGCTACTGCGGTAAAAATATTGGCAGTAAGGCGCCACAACCACAAAAAGTTTTTATTTTTGTGATTTAAAAATATTCTGGAATTTAAATATCCATGTTAAACTTATATTTTATTTCAGAAATGGTTATAAGTACTTTTGTAAGTGATCTATTGCTATTTGTAAATTACTTTTACATCTGCCAAACAAATTTTCGTGTAATAAATGGTTTGCTAATTGATAATGTGCTTCGGCAATCCCCTTGATTGCAGGTAGGTATTGATCATCCACTAATAACAGCTCGCTGAAATCTTCAATTGACTCATTGTACAGACCCATTGTCTGAAAATATATTAGATATAAACATTCGAAAATAAATTAAAAGTTTACTTCAATTTTTACTCACACATTTTATAGTTGCCACTTGAAGTTTTGCATATTTATGATCGGGGTTTTGTTCTAATATTTTCTGAAAAACTTTCATAGCGGAGTTGTATGAACCCCTCTCGTGATAGACTTCCGCCAAAATTTCCCAATATAATATATTTGTTTGATCATATTTCATAGCTACTCTTAAAGACTGTATTGCCTTTTGAATTTAGGGAGTAAAAATTTAAACTATAATTTTTTTAAATATTTTTCTAATATTTTTTTTACTTTTTCATACTGTTCCATATCTAAATAGTTAAGACTTTGTTGAAAAAGAACCCACTTTAATTTGGTACCGTCCAATTGTTTTACGACACTATCTAAGAAATTTGCATTAAGTTCCTAAAAAGTTGATTTTTTTATTAAATTGAACTAATTTTATAAGCATAAAATTCTATTATATAAGCATAAAAATAATAATTATATAATTAATGAAATAAACAAAATGCAATAAATTTCGCAATACAATGTAAGAATGAATTTTGCCTCCGACTCACAAAATATTATTAGTTGTTTTATTAGTTATATATTCAGTTTTTGTTAGTAAAACTCAAGTTTCATTTTGAACTTTGAATTTATAAGTCCTCGGTAGTATAGTGGTCAGTATCCCCGCCTGTCACGCGGGAGACCGGGGTTCGATTCCCCGCCGGGGAGGCAAACATTTTTTTAATTTTATATTTTTTAGTTTACAAATTACAATTAAAATATTTTGTTATGTTATAAAAGAGAAATATTTACAATTGCAAAAAGTAATTTAGATAGTTTAAAAAGAAAAACTCTTACCCATTCTCCCTCACTTCTATAAATAGCGCTCAAATTACTAATAGCCAATTCGCAGCAGGGATTTAAATCACTACATTTTCTGAAACATTTTTTGGCATGCATAACGTCTTTAATACTATTATATAATATTCCCAAGTAGAGGTAGCAATCTGCAAAATACGGTTTCATTTTTGTGGCTTTTAAAAGAAACGGTAACGCATCTTTATATTGTTTTAGTTCAATATATAATTTTCCTTTTCTCAAATCTATTTCAAATGAAGAATCTGTTTTCATATTCAAAATATCAAGTTTCTTTTCAGTTGTTCTAAAATTATATTTTATTTTAGCATTATGGTTTATTTGTTTGATTTCTTGTACTTACGTGCAAAAATCAAATTCAAAGATTTTTAATAACTCTTCATTTTCTAGTTGCTTTATCTCTTCGAAAATATTTTGAAGTTTTATTTCGTTTTTTGTTTTGAAATATGCTCTAAAATTCAAAGAACAAAGAAACTCAGTACATGAAACATAATTATCAACACCTAGAATATATTCATATTGAATTTTCAAGGCAGGCACATTGCTATACATTACTATATTACAAAATTATTGCAAAACTTTAAAAAATGTAAATTTTAATAGATTTTCGAGCAAACATGCGGAATCGTAAAATTCTAACTTCTATTTGCATCATAAAAATTAATTTTGCTGGTTTGATGCTCAAAACAAAAATATTAAAAAGCAACTTACTTTCCTAATGCGTATAAAAGCTCATCGTTTCTATTGAATTGAGTTTTATCTTCCAAAAGCAAAATTCCTTCATTAACTGAATCTAAATCATCGGAATTACACAGACAGATTCCATATTTTAAATTTTTGAGATTTAATTGGCTTAATATATTTTCCGCTAAACAATAAACACCAATTTTCATATATATATCGGCTAAAAGTTCTTTAATTAAACGTGGATCATGATCGACAATTTGAACCAAAAGATTTTTAGCTTCAACATATTGATGATTTTTATAATATAGTTGTGCCTTTACAGTAATAGCTAAGATTGAATTCTGATTGATTGTCAAGAGTTTATTTATGTAGTGATCAATAGGTTGCTCTAGTAGTTCATCTATATTATTTTTTTGATGTTGTGTTTTATATATTAAACAAATCCATTCTAAAGGAAACAATTCGTTTGGATATTTCTTTACTATCTCCTCGGCTTTTTTAAGAAGTTTGTCAAAATTATTACTTTTATTATAAAGCATTTTAAAATATACTTTACAACAACTTAATTCAATAATTGATCCGCATTCGGCATTTAATACGTTCTCTAAAGCTAAAATTATCTAAAAATTAAAGATAAACATAAGTAGTAAGTCGAAAATTTATAAAATCTATGAAGCTCAATATATTTTAACGTACCAAGTTTGGATCAAAATTCTCAGGAATTTTTTCCACTTTCGCAATAATTTTTCCTAACGACCTAAAAGCAGAATCTTTTTGTTTAACAGAAATTTCTGAATCATTTTGGAGCTCTTGTTGAAAAACATTGCAACATTCGTTAAAATTGTTTTGGTTAGAAAGAGCTACTAATTTCTCATGATAATCTTCGTACTTCGTCCTATTATTAAAAGAGCAAAAATGTATTTGAATAACATAAAAAGTTTTAATGCAATATATTTACGGGACCAATCTTATTAATTTTTGATATATATTTGGTAAATCTTCTGCATCTGCACAATTAGCTAACCCTTGCAGGGCAAGTAACGCATCTGTATCTTTTACACATTCAACAGCTTGTTTAAGGTATTTTGCAGCAGTTTTTTTGTCGCTTTCTTGATATGCCGCACCCATCAGAACTAAGCCCATGTAGTTTTTAGGATCATTTTTAAGGAGCTCCTTTAAATATAACACAAAATGCATAAATTGTGTAGATACTTATTTTTGCAATAGTTTTCTTTACCTCACATTTTTTTATTGCAGCCGTATTATCTTTATTTTTAATGGCTTCTCTTATTTCTTTAAGTGCCGCTTTAACTTCTTTCGACATATTTTTTATTTAAAAATTCCTAAATTATAATATGTTACAATATTACCCGTCCGCCAACATATAATATTATTATATGAGTATGTGAAAAAAAAATGAATGCAATATGAATATTATATGACATAAGGCACAGTAGGTAATGTACTTTGTACATATTCCTTAGAAAATTTTGTAAACAAAATACAGTGTTGCCAGAGTTATTCTTCATTACCTCACGACAACACAAGTCATTTTATTGCGTTTTCTTTAAAAAATAGCGCACAGCTTTTAAAAATTTTTACTCTTACACTTAGTAAAATTTTTTACTCTTATAAAATTGTGTAATTCAAACTTTGATATAAAAAAATATAAGCAAAACGGTTTGAGTAAAACAATAAACATTTTTTATAAAATCTGAAAGAGAAAAAACATTTTTGTGAATTAAGAACGTATGTGAGAGAATTTTTTCGATATGTCATCAAATTTTAAGAAAAGTTGATCTTTTAGATAATTTTATTTTGATAATACACAAACCCTTCTTTGTTTTATAGTTCCACAAGATATAGCTTTCGTAATTATAATCGTATGTATGTAAGCTTTTTTTATCTTGACAAGAAAGTATTTTATATATTACTTCACTTTTAACTTAAAAAAAAAGATACAAATATAAAAATACATTTAAAATTGCGTGGGTATTTTTTTATTTTAACAAATGCAAATATCACGTTCTAATAATTTATGACATGTAGAATTAAAATCGACATCTGCATATCTAAACCTAATTATCGATGTATAAACCATGACAACACTAATATCGATAAGAATATCCCGATATTTTAAAAGTACGATGTAGCAAAAAATAACTATGTATGTCCTCCCCTATCATGGTAACGGTGCAAACTACTATGTGCAATTAACGTTATTTAGAATCATGGAGCTGTGTCCAAAATCATTGTCTAAGTTTATTTAAACATTAAATTTTGCATTAAAGTTTAATGAAATTATTCTTCTTTCCCTTTTTGAATATGTAACAATGGGTTTAAGATGAATTAGTTTGCTTTTATTTAGTGCAATTGAGTGTTACAGGTGGATTGCACTAATCTTAATTTTAACAAAATTCTAATGTTATTATAATTTAAGACTTTGCTCAAGTATTCCGGGCTTAAGATAAACACCCATAGGAATTGATATTTTTACTTAAAAAAATGTGTTCACTGTTTAAGTAAATAATTTATTAATAAACATAAAATTTGCTGTCTTCTCAAAATGTAATATTAGAAATGAGGTTTTCTTAGAAAATACAAAATATTTTAAAGACAAAAAATATGAGTTTGTCAATTTTTTTTTGTAAATCTAGTTAATTTGGTTTATCTAAAACCCTAACAAGAAGTACTTTATCTAACAATTGCACACCTTTTTAATACGTTTTGGCTTTAAATTGCTTTTAATTGATTGAAAAAGTGTGTTCATATGACCCGTATTGTGTAATGATAAGAATGGTTTTAAAGCAAATTGATAAATCAGATAAATCTCTACCATGTGCAATAAATGACTGCTTCAACTTAAAGATTGAAATCAATATTGCAGATAATTTCACTTAAACAATTCTTCAGCCAAACGTTTAATACCAACATATTAAAGAAAAACAATGTGTTAATTATCGTTATTGATATAATATTTATTTAAAGAATCGTAAAACTCAGTGCATTTAGAATAACAATCTCAGCAAGTGGGTACCTACATATTTAGTGCACGATTTTCAATTTTACTTCAAATAAACATAGTGCCACTTATCAACTGGAAATAGAATAGGTTAAAACATTATTTGTAAATTTTAAATAAATATATTGAAGCGCATAATATAATTCTATAATTACCTATGTCACTAATTTCTTCTGGAGTTCCATCATCGGCTGCAGAGTCAACTAAGTTATTAGCTTGATCTTGTGATATAACAAACGGAGAAGTTTCTTGTGTTATGTTAGCGCTAAATACAACATAGATATGAATTAATGCGTTTTGAATTTTATATGAATGAATTATTTAAAAAAAAATATTTATTACCAATGAATGATATCACTTTCAAGTTCTTTACTAATTAAAGCTTTCCAAAATTTATGAGTTTCCAAAACTTGTTTTACAGCGAATTCAGCATTTTTTGCATCACCATTGAAGGCAAATTGATTTTCTGGTTTACCATCAGGTACTTTATAAATCTAACGAAAATTTATTGACAAGTTAGACTTTAATATATTCAAATTTTATTTTAGAAATGAATAAGACTTTACCTTAAACCATTCCACTGTAGCCCTCAATAAACCAGGTAAAAATTTTTCAACATCTTCGATATCATTTAATTGTTCAGCTAGAGGATCATTAACATTGATTGCAATAATTTTCCAATCTGTTTCTCCTTCATCTATTAAAGCAACACATCCAAGTACTTTAACTTGCATCACCTCGCCTCGTTTAGCAACACGATATCCAATTTCAAGGACATCAATTGGATCGTTGTCACCTAAAATATGTAATAAAATTTTTATAACACAGAATTTTTTATATTATTGAATAAATACAAAGCCTATGTACATACCTTTACAGCCAGTAGTTGGTTCAATGAAATTAGGATTTTCCCATGTTTGAGGAAAAGCCCCATAATTCCATATGTATCCATGATGTGGGAAACAATTTGCAACAAAGCGAAGTTTACCTTTTTTCACATCTTGTTTAATTGGATTCATAGGCGTTTTTAATGAAATCTACAAAAAAATTATAAAGTTAAACAAGGGAATTTCATACATTTTTAAATTTGCAGAATATTGATTACATTTAATATCGAAATTCAATTTCTTAGCTTCATTATGCAAATTCTAGTTTTGAGAATAATTCAATAGGAGTTTTTTAATATAGTATAAATTATATATATATGTGATATGTTTATATATATTGCAAAATTAAAGATCTATAATACAATCTTATTTAATTGAAAACCGAATGTTTCTGTATAAAAGCAAAATATCTGAATACACTAGATCGATTTCATGTTTTTCATTTCTCGATAAAAATATTATCATGCAATATGCCGTGTTCTCCACATTTATAGTAACAACTATTGTTAACGATATCAATAATGATAACTTTTTTTTTTGTTTACACATTATTTATATTAACAGATATTTTAGATTAATTGTTTCTTAATTGGTGTCCTTGCGAGTTTCTATATTTAAATAATAAATAAATTTAATTACCTCCATTTTTGCATTTGTCCATCGTGGTACTTCAACAACCATATTGTATACGTTCTTAGAATCATTAGCGAATAAAGGAATGTCATGAAGGGGTGAGATAGCATTTCCTGTTTCGTCCCCTAAAATGAAATTAGAATTTTTTTTTGAAATACAAAATTTTAGCTTAATGAAATTTTATTATTTAATTAAATAATTTGAATGTTTTATCTATTTTTTATAGGCAAACATTTGTACATACATATGCTTGTGTATTTAAAAATAGCTAAGTAGATTACCCATGATGATGAGAGAATACATACACATGACGTATGCAGGAGGTAGAAATGTAACTTTCACTTCGTAGCATTTGCAAAAACATTTTGCAAAAATTGAGATAGAATATTCAAAGCTTAAAAACAATGAAGTAATTTTCTAATTATGTAAAATATACTTGCATTTAAATATCCTAGTCCATATTCTTAAATTTCTATGTTAATTTTTCTTTTAAATTATCTATCAATTTACCATATTTCTAAATTTTCCGTTTTCAAATTTGAAATATTTGGTTTATATAGACAAAATTTTAAGTGTATTTTAATACAAGCTTTCAATTCAAGAAGAAACTCATTTAATGCTCTGAGTTTTCATTCTATACTTACGCGTAAACAAATTTCTTATAGATTGTCTTATGAGACTTATAAATAATAGAGGATTATTAAACTAATGATAAGTAACAGAATAATCCAATAAAATTACATAATTTCTACATTAAATTACAACAAAATGTAATCATAAATATCAACCCTTTGACCCCCTCAAAGGTCATATTAAACAGAAACAGGTAGTTATAAATAATATTAATAATGTAGGTGTAAAAGTAATTATTTAATATTTTTATATTTTAAATTCTTATCAAGTTAATTTTTTTTATATCTTTCAAATTTTATGATAACTTAAAATTATTGTTCACGTCTCGTTTATTACTTACTGAAATAGATGCTGTAAGTAGTTGAATTTGGAACACCTTTTTCGATAACTGCGTATTTTTGCATTTTTAAATATTTTTTATTGAATGCTTTTTGATGTAATAGATTAGTTTTTAAATTAAAAAATTTTTTATTTACAATTGAAGTAGCACGTCGACAAAACACGTGTGACACAAACGAGACCGGCACCAAAGTTCTAATGAACATTTTTTTTTATTTTATACTTTCTTCATCTGTTATTTGTTTTGACGTTTTTGACGTTTTTTGACATTTGTGCATTACATGGAAAAGTTTGGGTAATACTGATATACGGTGTGGATATTCAAATTAGAAAGGGCCGTCTTCCGTCATTCCAAAATATAATGGTTGTTTATATAGTGTATCCATCCCTATGTTTTTCTTATGAATTATAGAGTAACTCACGTTACGTTTTATTTCTATTTGTATATTTTATCACTATTTAATCAAATTAATATAGGCATGTTAGCCCATACATTTCAACTGCTTTTTTCAAGTTTGGTTAGTTAAATAAGTCAAAATGACATTTCTAATGTTTTTTAACTCAAGAAATTGGACAGTGGAAGAAATTATAGTTTAATTTCTGTTTTCTAAACCATGGACGCGAACCACTTAATCAAATGAAAATATATATAACAGTGATTTTCAATTTTTATTTCGAAGCTTTTCTACTACTCAGTAGATGGAGAAGTAATGTCATTATTCTTATATAACACTCTTAAAACAATTTATGAGTGAAATTTTAATAAAAAATATATTATATCAAATATTTTTATTAAAATTTTAAAAATTCTATTTATTAAATTAAATTATTTGTATTTATAAAAATTATATTCTATTCGATTTCGTGAGTTGTTGTCGTTACGATTTAAGTACATAGCAAAGTTGGGAACTTTTTTCTATCAAATGGTGTTATTTTTTTATTTTTGAAATCTTTACTTTACAATGCTGTTTACAAGCAGTCAATTATGTTTATTTATAGTCATAACTAGTTACATTTAATTGTTTTTATTTTGTAGAGGTAGTTCTTGTATATTAATCGAACAGTTTTTTTTTATTTAAAGAGTTATGTAATTTAGTCAAAAAGTAATTAAAACATAGTGCAATTAAGTACAATAGCTATGTATGTTTAGATTAAAGCTATTATGGGTTATTAGCAGTAGTGTAGTGGAGCCGGTGTCTCCCGGAGTCCGACTCCGGTTGTGTTTTAAGTGCCGGTACCATGACTCCGGGACCTCAAACTGATTTTATTATATTATATTATATTATTTTTTTATTTTATTATATTATCAGAGTCTTTGCAAAATCGCAATACAATTATTGTATATGCAGATCGATTGATTCGTAGAGCTATAAAAAATATTCAATATATGAAAGAAGTTCCAGGTAAGCGAGTTAAAGAAACTCGAATTGCTGAAACAGAAAATAAATTTAAGACGATAGACCTAACGGACAATACAAAAGTATTAAAAATTAATTATAATCAATTCTTAACAAGTTTAACTAATATGATGGAAAAGCGACTTTTTTCATCTCAATCCCTAATAAATCAACTCAAAGTTTTAGACCATATAGAAATCACATCGGAACTAGCGGCAAATTATGGAGAAAACAAAATACGTGAGTTATGTTGTCGTTTTGATATTCCTTTGGTATCAACACTGAATTCTTATAGGGATTTCAAAGAGTCAAAAGGAAAATTTATATCAGTGGAGTTAAGAAAATTATTAAATTTGTGTAACAACATTCCATGCAATACGGCTGAGTGTGAAAGGGGCTTCAGTAATATGAATTTAATAATAACAGAAAAACGATCCCGTATCACTGTTAACCACGTATCATTATTAATTTTTATTAAAACTCATGGCCCTCCTCTAAGCCGTTTCAACCATGATCAATACGTTAAATACTGGCTAATTCACTATCGATCAGCAACTGACGAGCGTACGAGAATTGCCAAAGAAATTGTGGGAGAAATAGATCCAATTTGGAAATATTTATAGAAATGGTTTTTGTTATTAACTTATTCATGAAGTAATTCTTTTCGTTTTTTGTTGTCTTTTATGTATAAATTGATTTTTTTTTGTATTTTTTATTTTATTTTTATTAAAATTAAATTAAGTGTCAGAAATTAACTTGTAAGTTTTCTTTTTCTACAAATATTTATTTTTTATATAAATATTTTTATTTTTTTTTATCGTGGTACCGCCACCTCGAATTCTATCACTACACCACTGGTTATTAGGTTTTATGTTATTAAATAAATTTTTATGTAATATTAAAATAAATAATAGGCCAACATCTATTATTATTTTGTTCCGTTAGGATGCTCTATATACCCATAGATGTGGGTGGTTCTATATTATTAATAAAAGGAAAATTACTTTAAAGATTTTCAATATGGAAAGGAAAAGAGAAGGGTTTGTGTGTGGAAAAAAACTTCTTTATTTTGAATTCGATAATCATTGAATATTAATTAATTTTATTTTTGACAATTAACTTTGCTGTTCGTATTTTTAATAAGGAAGTGATTTTTTTTTTATATAGGAAAACGGAGCAAAATAATTTAATTATTAAATGATTGAAAGATTTGTAAGATAAAGGAAATTATAATAGTACATAATATCTATATACATATGATTTCCTTGAGGTGTTCAAATAAAAATGCATCCTATAATTTGTATTTTTACACCATTTAATTAATTGAAAAATGAACTGTCCGAAATTTCTTTAAATTCTTTTTTATTTTTTTTATTTACCGGTGAAATATTTGATAATTATTCGTTTTAAAAACCTATATTATTTAGAATTAAGTAATGATGAAGTAAAAGCTGCCAGAATATCCTTTATTCTAATATTGTTCTGTTTTTACAATGAGATTTTCTTGTTAATTTTTTTTTTTGGGACTTTAAAACTGATTTTTGAAAGGAGCACAATATTTGTTCATTGTTAAATTACATGACACAAAATATATTGTAATGTTTTGTATGAATTTTTGTAGTATTAGTTACAAGTGATATTATATGTGAGTGTGTATACGAAAAATTCAGTTAATTGGCTTTAGTAAATGTTTATGTATCATTTTTGTGTGATTTTTGTATGATTTTATTTGATTTGGGTGTTTCGCACAAATAAAATCAGTAATAATTCTTTGACTTATGGGGGTGAGGGGAGGTTTGCAAATAGACTCGTTTTTCAGCTACAGTCTGTTGTGAAAAATCGGTTACAGATTTTGGTTTCATATAAATAAATGCTAATAACTACGGAGTCGTTCAATATGGAGTCACAATGAGAAGCACATTGCTTTAAAAAAATATATTTGATAGATCTTTATCATACCATCAATTATATCTGACTCTTATTTTGCAGGAAAAAATTAAAATTTTTAAAAACCATGAAAGATACGCTACAATGAGAGAGGGCAGTCCTCCACACAATATTTTCCTCAATCTCTCATCCCTTGATTATATTAAAAATAAAATTTTGTAATTAATTTTTAAGATGATTTAATGAAAAATTTTTGTAATTTATTTTTAAGATGATTAAATGAAAATACATACAAAATTATTTCAGATAATGGAATAGTTACGTTGAATGGATAGTATATGAAATAGTTATGGGAATTTGTTTTTCGTACGTACTATTAGTACAGTTACAAAATCTATTGAATTTTAAAATTTGTTTCCGATTTGTTTCAATTAATATTTTAAATCTTCAAACTGTAATTAATTATTTCAGTAGGTATATCAACCATACAATTATAACATAACGCTAAATTACTGATATTTTATAGCAATATTGTTATACAAAGAAGCATATTGTTATATAAAGGAGCATTGTCATATAAAATTTCGATTCTTGTACGAAGCTCATTCTACTAAATTTGCTTATCTTGTTCTTGTCTTAATTCCAGTTGATGCCTTGATTCCTGTTATGTGTTATAATATACTTTCTAGACAAAACAAAATTAATAAGAACATTTTTATAAAATTTTATATAAAATATATAGTATAAAGCGAGAGAAATCATACGTAAATAATAATGAAAGAAAAGAAAAAGAGAAACAAAAATAAAATTAAAAAAAAATTATATGAAAAAAAAAGGGCTGAGAGATGTTAGAGTAGAGGAAAAAACAAAAAAAAAAACGAAATGAAGTTTGAGATTTAGGTCATAATAATCAGAAAATGGATATGAGAGTTGTAGTAAGGTCAAGAATAAGGTCGTTCTAGATATTAACTTTCATATATACTCCATTTTTTTTTGTTTCAGTTTCTTGGTACATTTGTGTATCTGTACAAATTAATTCTTATCGCATAAAAGAATTTATTCTTCTCTTTATAACAGAAAAATAAATTTTTTATAATATGTGTGTATGTAAGCAAATATGATTTTTTGAGAAGAAAATAAGAAACAAAAAAAAATTGTTTTTTTTTTTTTCGTAAAAATTATTGAAAATCTTTCGAAAGATAAAAAAAAACAGAAAATGTAAATGATATGGAATCATGCTGAACAGAAGATGTTTCGATACTACGAATACAAACATATGGTAAGAGTAATACATGTTGTGAGATGATGAACAAGAAATTAGTGAAAATAATTGAATTTTTTTAAATTATTTCAAATTGTTTTCGGCTATTTTCCTACAAATTTCAAAAATATTCAGAATTTTTATTATTTTCGGAAGCTGTGAGAGAGAGAAGAGAAAGCACATCTAAATAATAGAAAAATTTCATTGTATAACAATTTAATTATCGTATTTAAAATTTCTTTAAATAATTATGAAAATTTTGTTTATACTTATTTCATATTAATAATGAAAATATCATAATGAAAAATATTCATTTCACAGGGTTAAATTTTAAATTATGCTCTTGTATTTGCGTATATCGTATATTTTTCGTGATCAATGTAAACGAAAATGAATAAAATTGAATTGGTTTTATCGACCGGTTTGATATACAAAAAATAATTATGTATTACGATTTCGAACATTAAAATTATTTTCATTACTGGGTGTTTTTTGAAAAATTTGTGGAAAATTCAAAGATATTTCATTTATTACTGTAAAAAAATTAATAATATGTCAGATGTCGTAAGAATAAATGACGTATCTGCATATGATTATTGCTATAGAAATTTGAGAACATTTGGGTTTCATTTTGACATTTCATTTTTATTTAAATGATTTTCAATTCATT